GTGCTGACTCTACTTATTATTCTGACATGAGTTTCCTAGTACTCTGTTCCTGTCTCAACTTACAACAAACAGAATTGTCTGTTCTGCCTCTCGCACTGCTCAATGCACTGGGGCAATAATACAAGCAATACATCCGTTGCTGAGCGTGACAGTGTCAGTCTTTCCTGTTTGTCCTGCCATTTCATCTTAGGAAATTGTTACAGCATGTTATTAGCATGTTCCAGGACTCAGAGACTTGGCAGATACCTGACAACCTCTGCTGCTAGTGAAACTTACTGGGAATCTCATTGGGGCAGAAAGTGAGACCTGAAGGTATAGGGGCAGTACTAAAATCTCTGAAAAGATGCTACAGAGGTGCCTTGTGCCACTGTCTGTTACGTCTGTCTCCTGTAGACTGCTGAACACCGCGGGAGGAGGGGGGTGGTGGCTGCAGCTTGTGAGAGCTTTTACTGGCAAAAGGAAACTTTCTTTGGCTGCAGCTGCTCTGGGAGTGTCTCTTCCAGGCAAGAGGTCTGGTCTGTGCAGGAGGTATCACACTTGCCACAGTACTGTCCTTGGCAGCAGGAAGCTCTTTAATGTGCCCTGGTAATGGCAAACTAAGCTGTGCTTAGTCTGGTAGAACTACAGGAATTCCTCAAAGAGAGAAGAGGAAGAGTTGCTAGTTTTCTACCACTTTCCTGTAGCTGTTATGAAATGAATCATTAAATATGGGTGCTTTTTTTTTTTCCGGAGTATTTTTTTTTTTAAGCTTGGTGAGTGTAAATTTGCCTGTTGAAATGTGACACTTGAATGGCTCTGGAAGCTTTTCATATGGTGTTACTAGCTGTTCCTATGAAAAAGTACTAATTGATGATGGAAAGACAAAGACTATTTAGAGGCCACTTACTAGAGTAAAACTTCTGCTAGCTTAAGATATAACCAGAATTTAGAGAGTTGCAAATCCTTGGATGCAGCAGTGAGTGCATTATAACTGCAGGGATGAGAAAAGTCAATGAACTGCTTTAAACAGTGTGAGTATAAATTGCTGCCTTAGGGTAATACTTCTGATAAGTCTGTTGATGAAATCCGGTAAGTGTTCTAAAAACACCTCCTCAGTGTTGGAAGTTTACAACAAGAGTTCACCAAGTTTTGGAATAGGAGTGTAGTACACATGGGGGCGAGTGCTGCCACTGCAGACCTTGTGCTCTGCTCACTAGTGGGCAGTGTCTCTCTCACAGTGTGCACCTTGCCTGCCTGGACTGGCAGAGCTCAATTCGTGTGTGCTCAGCAGTCCAATCTGGATACCTTATTGAGGAGCATTTTGTCCTGTTTGCAGCCCAAATGATAAGCATGCTAGTGGTTATGCCAGCCCTTGAACCTGGGAAAGCCTTCTTAGAAGGCTTCGAAATAAAAGCTATAAAAGCTTAATGCTGACGAGTCTTGATGCTTTCCTTAGAATAAGCACTGGTGGTAAACTAGCTAGATAAATGTTTTACAAGTGCTTTGAGAGGGCAGTTCTCACGGAATGAAGCAAACGAGTCCAAATTATGGTGGGACTGGATGGTGTTTGCTTTGTTTCGCTCTGCCATTTCTGTTGCGATGTCAAACACCTGTGATGGTCAGTACTCGCTGCCTCAGTAAGGTGGTTTTACTAACAGGAAGACTTTAAATGAATGAGGAGGATGAAAGTAAAAATGCAGTGCCTGGCATGAGTCTGTCTGGTAGGGATTGTAGCGGTCTGGAGATCTCTGGTAGCTTGTCTGAGCTGCAGGCAGAGCACATTAAGCTCAGTGCCTCATCTCCTGAGAGGGTAGAAACCTGCCTCACTTTGAGCCAGTTGTTGTGGACTGGAAAAGCAAAACCACCCTAGCATGGTAGCATATAGGGAAAAAAATCTGTGTTGTTTTCACACCAATGAGGGTTAGCAAAGTGCAGTTTTACAGCAAACTGACTCGTATGAAGTGACTGCAGGAGTGGTGGTGAATTGAGGGGCACAGCCTGTTGGGACAGGCCGCAGCGGCGTTGTGCTGCGCTCGCTGGGGAGCAGCACTGTGGGGTGTGGTTCCCCAAAGCACAGTTTCCTGTGGTATCTCGGTTCTGCTGGGTGACACCAGGCTCCAGTTGCAAGTGCAGACCCATTCAAGGCTTTGCTGCTCCTAAACCTATGGTTGCTACTCATTTTGAGCAGAGGGGGCTTCTGCTAGGAGGGGAAAGTCTCTCTTCCTATCGAGTGTACTGATTGAAGGATGACATCAGGTCAGACAGCTTTAGTGCATGTGAGTGAGTGACAGCAAAGGAATTTTGCTGGTTCCAGCATGGGACTTTATTTTACTGTGCTAACAAAGATCTGAGTCTTAAGAATAAGTATTTTGCATGAGTTATGGGGTTCCTTCGTGAAGCAGCTTTATTTTAAACGCTAAGTTCTGATTTGCTCTAAATAGGTCGAAGAGCTGCTCAGGCACAGATTGCAAAGGGCTGCACAAATGTGTCAGTTCCGTGTTCTGGCACTGCCTCTTGGCCCTTAACCACCTGTGCTGATGCTATCACACAAGAGTAGGTACTGTGCTTTGTCCATGAATAGTGGAGCAAAACATCTGTATTTCTTTCATGGTAGCTGGTACATCAGTGTTTTAGGTGAACAGGAAATACTTTAGAACAAACAAAAAGCACCGTGTTGCTTACTGGCTCAGTTAATGTAACCCCTCTTACACTTGGACGTGGCTTGTGGGCAGCTTTGTGCTCACTGGTGGGTGTGCTGGGCCTGCCAGGCTTACAGGCAAGCTCTTCTGGGGGAAGAGTCTGCGCCCAAGTGTAATAGTAAAGCTGGTTTTGGGCAGTGTTCAGCCCTTCTAGGGAGCGATTGGATTCTTGTTTCACCCAAACACTCTGAAATTAACCCATTGTCAACATCTAGGATTTGGGGAAAATAATTTTGGGAAGTGTATACAAGAGAACTTACTACAACTGCTACTGGAAGCTGCTAATTTTAAGCAAAGTTGGATTCTTACGCGTTTAGGTCATTTGTTCTTTACTTGCGACTTCTATGGGATGGTTTTTCCTTAGTTTGACTTCATTGTGTCGGAAGGCACTGAGGCCTTCAAAACCAGCTTACTCCTGATCTGCATGTTCATGATATCTTTGTTCCAGTATTGTCTAAACAGTATTTCTTGTGCATGCAACAACTAGAACTGCAGCTTATGCTGGCTTCAGCTTTTCTGTACTAACCCTGCCTTGAACCTTACAGAGTACGCTTGAATATTTAGCTAAACTTAAAACAAGGAAACCTTTGGGCTTGTCTCGAGAGGATATCAGACACAAATTGGTGGTGTGTCTAGCCTGAAGTAGGCTTTTTGGGAAACCTCAGAAAGTATTTGGAGGTAGTTAGTGGTCTCTTTCAGTACTTATCTAGATCGTAACTAGCAGAGTAATTCTTGCTTATGGGGAGAAAAGTCCCTGGTGGTAGCACTCCTGCAGTCTGCTGCTGCTGTCTCAGTAAACAGTGTGTGAAATCTGTCCATGTGCTTGCTTGGAATACAGGGATCGGAGCTGGCGGTGACCACATTGGCATTGTATGGGTCTTTGAATATTTCTCTGCTTACTCTTGCAGTTTTGGTCTCTAGTGTCATGTGCTTAGCTTGTAGTCCAAATGTGACTTTGAGTTGTTCTTAAAGCCTTTCACAGCATAATTCCCTCCACCCCTCACAACTGGAAGGCTGGTGGAGTGTGCTAAGAGGATTGATTGCACCAAGGAGCAAAGAAATCGGGATTTGTTGATCTGAGGGAAATGGCTGTTGGCAAGAAAGAGGATTGTGAGTTCTGTGTGCTGGGGCTTGGTGCACTGTATCTTGTCTGTGCAGCTTTAAGCCTCAAACCTTTGCTGTGGTGGGAAAACATTAAAACAGTTTGAACTAAAATATCTGCAGCTTGTGTTCCTGAGTTGTGAAATATCTCTGCCTCTTTCAGTTGATTGGTATGCAGGTAGAAATGAATCCTCGGACAGCTCGGTGGACTCGCAGACCTCACTCTGCCTGGCCTGGCGTCTGCCTTCAGGCACTCCTAGGAGTCCAAACCGTGTTTTCCAGTAATTATGAGGAGTTTTGAATGGACCTGGCAATGCTGTACACTAGCATTCAAGGTGAAGTGCTGCTGCTGTTTGATTTGTTTCATGAGAACTCTGGGTGAAAGGTGTGTGTCTTCTGTGGGATGAAACGCCCTTGCTGCAGTCCTTTGCCGCGTTCCTTTCC